GGAGGAGGCGTGGCGGCGGGGCGCGGGGCGTGCCTTCCCGCAGTGCCGTGAGGGAGGCGGGCCCTGGAGGCAGAGGGTTCGGGTCGGGCGAAAGGGGGGGATAGCAAAAGGGGGGTCTGAGAATCAGCTCACGTAGCTGATATTCCCGGCGCCTCCCGGCGCCGGAGGCGGCCACGTATCGAGGAATCGGCCCGTCGGTGAGGCCGAAAATAGCTGCATGCAGCAAATTTCGTAACCCCCCCTTTCCCAATCCCCCCCTTTCGCCCGGCCCGAAGGGTCCTGGACCCAGGGGCTCTCCTTAGAGTCAAGTCGGGCGTGTCCCCCTACAGGGGGGTTGTGGACGAAACATACAAAACAAAGCAATACCCCAAGATAGTATCAACACATGCGCAACACATCGTCCCCATTTGTACTATTTTCGAACATCCCCCCTGTAGAGGGACAGGCCCGACTTAACCTTAGAGGCTCCTGCATGGAGTCGGAGTCGCTGGGGTCTGAAGATCGCGCCCGCATCGTCGATGCATCACCGATGCATCGGCGATGCCTCGGCGACGTCGGCGATGCGTCGGCGACGTCGTCATGTGGAACACCGGGCTCCCCATCGAGCCGCATCGACCATGCATCGGCGATGCGGCGCGATCCTCCGACGCCACATGCTCAGACCCCATCTGGGGGGCCCAGATTCCAACATGGAAAATAAATACACTCAAATGAAAGGATTCCCAAGATTTTCCTACATTTTCTGGGTTTTCGTCTTCCCCTCCAGTTCCTATATTTTCCATTTTTTTCCTGGGGATCGACGATTCATTGTGTCTGTGTGCGTTTTCCCCTCCTGATATACGCAGACACGACAACATCCCAGGACTCCCGACGGTCTCCCATGTGTTCGGGGCCTTCGTCCTCCCCCCCACGTGTGCCATGCCTCTTCCGCTCGTTGGACGCCCGAAATGGGCACGGAAAGAATGGGCACACTGCCCAACAACAAATGCTGCCACACACCAATAGCGGCCGCTGTTGGGCAGGCGGCCTTCTGCCTCAAATGAGCACAGGCCGCGGCGGCGCGCACCGCGAGTACTGTTCAAACTGAGCAGGAACTGCTGTTGGGGCGTCCAAACGCATTCGGCGTACGCGTTCAACGATCGCCAACAATAATTCAAAAATGGTGCGCTGGGCAGGGACATGCAATAGTTCAACGTCGGCCTCGGCGAGCACACCGCGTCCATCAATAGCTCCAACGTCGGCCTCGGCGTCCACGTCCTGCCCCAACGGCGTTGAACGCGCCAACGCCGTTGGGGCAGGACGTCCCATTCTTTCCGTACCCATCTCGGGCGCCCAAACGCTCGTGCACGGAGAGCCGCGGCGCGCGCGTGGGGGCCCCCGGCGCGCCCCGGCGGCACGCCGGGCGCGCGAGGCGGGTCGGGAGCTCGCTGCTCCACAGGCGCCCAGGGACACGCAAATATTGAAGGGGCCCCAGGACACACAGAGAAATGCACACAAATAAACATACCCCCCATGTCTTCCTACATTTTCTGGGTCTTTGTCTTCCCCCCCCCACTTCCCATATTTTCTTTATACTCTCTGGGGAATCGGCGATTAATGATGTCGGTGTGTTTTTTCCCTCCTGAAATATACACGTCGTTCATTTCTAGAATGCTCCTGGCCCCCTGGTGGCCAGGAAGGGGCCCAGGACAGAACACTTAGAGATGGGAGGAGCTTGGCCGCCCCCAAAACATCAGAGAACCTTCGAGAAGAGTCCGAACTGAACAATATGTGTTAACGCGGACACGAAAAACTCCCAGGACTCCCGGCAGTTTCCCACGTGTTCGGGGCCTTCGCCCTCCCCCCCTCGCTGTGCCATGCTTCCCCCCGGCTCCTCCTGGGAGTCGACGCTGCACCGTGCCTGTGTGCTCCTGCCCCCCCCCCCCCCGACTCTCTGAGCTGAGCAGCCCCAACCAGCGGGGCGGGTCGGGTCGGGAGTTCGCTGCTCCACGGGCGCCCAGGGACACACACAAATATATGCGCAGACGCGCAAAAATCCCAGGACTCCCGGCAGTTTCCCACGTGCTCGGGGCCTTCGTCGGGTGGGGAAGCCGACCCTTTCTGGGAGCGCGCGCCGCCAGCCGACCCCAAGGCCTCCACGGTCTGCTAGCGGGATGGGTGGGTTAACCGCCCCCGAGGGGGGAGACGAGGCTTTGACAGAAGCGATCCGTTGCACCGCCTAGTTTGAAGTTGGGGGGGCAGTGCCGCGGGGATCAATTGCGAAGAAGGAGGAGGAGGAGGAGGAGGAGGAGGAGGAGGAGGAGGAGGAGGAGGAGGAGGAGGAGGAGGAGGCGTGAGGAGGAGGAGGAGGAGGAGACATGAGGAGGAGGAGGAGGAGGAGGAGGAGGAGGAGGAGGAGGCGTGAGGAGGAGGAGGAGCAATGCGCGTTCACCCGCGCGCAAGCTGCACGCGAAGCCGACCCTTTCTGGGAGCGCGCGCCGCCCGCCGACCCCGAGGCCCTTTCGGCGCGGCGCCCGCGCGACACCTCCGCGAAGCTCCGCGCCTGGGCCCCGCGCGCCCGCCGCCGACCAGCGCCCCGGGGGTGCGTGGGCAGGGCCTACACCACTGGAGGCCTCCTCCTCCTCCTCCTCCTCCTCCTCCTCCTCCTCCTCCTCCTCCTCCTCCTCCTCCTCCTCCTCCTCCTCCTCCTTCTCCTCCTCCTCCTCCTCCTCCTCCTCCTCCTCCTCCTCCTCCTCCTCCTCCTCCTCCTCCTCCTCCTCCTCCTCCTCCTCCTCCTCCCCCCCCTCCTCCTCTTCCTCCTCCTCCTCCTCCTCCTCCTCCTCCTCCTCCTAGTAGATGGGGTTGGAGGATGGCGTCCGAGTAGACGGGGCCGAAGGATCGCGCGGCGTCGCCGATGCATCGCCGATGCATCCACATCATGAGCCGCGTCGTAGATGCATCGGCGATGCGGCGCGGTCCTCCGAGCCCACCTACTCCGACTCCTTCTGGGAGGCCTAGAACCACACGTCCCCAGCCCAGGGGGCTGCAGGGTGAAGGGACACTGAGATCTGGGCACTGAGATCTTCGCACCGGGCGGTTTCGCTGAACTTCGTGCCCCGGTCGAAATTTCTCGCTGCGTTGCAATTTGCTCGCAACGTCGGGTCTCCGGGAGGACGTCCACTTACCTGCAGCCCCCTCGGACGCCTGCGCCCGATCCTGGGGTTCGGGCGCGCCGAAGAGAGACAGAACTGCATGCCCTTGTGCGTTGGATTTCACCCCGATTGCTTGGACTATTCACCCTGGTTGGTTGGATTATTCCCGGGTCTCTGTCTTGGACGTGTGAGGAAGTGTGGGTGTTCTCGAGGCGTGTGCGAGGCTTCAGAGAAGCTTCTGTGAGGCTGCTGAGAGGCTTACGAAAAGCTGTTGCAGGGTTTGTGAATCGATGTAGATCAGATGTTGATACGTTGTTCTGGCTTAAACGAGGCTTCTGCTAAGCATCTGCGAGGCTTCTCAGAGGCTGATGCGAGGCTTCTGAACAGAACAGTTTTTGCGAGGCTTCTGGGAGGCTCCTGCGAGGCTTCTGAAAGCGTTCGCGGGCGTACTGGAGAGAAGGTATCCGCGGGCGCGATCGTGGAATGGGCGCGCGGCTCGCCCTGAGGGGGTGCGGCAACAGGGGCAACCTGCACAGCGGCAGGGCACAAGTTCATCTGAAGTTTCAAGGGGCCGTGGACTTGCCAAAAGGGCATCGGTCCCCCGGTCCCCCCGGATAGTCCAATCAAGAAGAGTTGTTGTTCGGGCCCCTGCCATCGGCGGGATGATTTAACCATGGGATCCTGGACGTCTGTAGAAAGTGTGATCCCAGCGTCTTCCAGATCCCGTCCACAATTCTCCCATTTGATATTTCGCATTCGAAACAAGCACCCCGGGCTACTCCGAGCTCGGCTTCAGGTGATGTCGGTTCTTTGTGCACCAGACGAAACGTTTAGCCCGCCGAGATAGTCTCCTTCCCCAGCGAGCAAGTGACCATTCCTTGTAGAGGAGCACAATCCATGGTGCTGCGAATTACTTGTGCAGCAGCGGTGGAGCTGGTTTGCGTCCACCTCGGTCCTTCTCGGAATCTCTGATCGCTTTTCGGGGCTCGCGCGTTGTGTCGTCCAGGCTGCGCCTGGTGCTGCTGGACGTAGACGTGATGTCATACGGTTCGGTTTCGCTCTCGGTTCGGCCTGTTCGCTGCAACATAACACGGCACAATGCGTTCATGTTGGCCGCCGCAATTGGATGATTCCCTGGTGTGTTTTCTGAATGCATGCGGGATCCTAGAATGGCAGCGCAACGGCATTTAAGATTGTCTACGTCCGATGTGACCTTAAAATTCATATTGGAGAACCGTTCGGCGCTTCTCTCCCACTGCTTTTTCCCGCGTCGACCGGGGAATCGTTCAACTAACTAGGGTAAAGGCCAACGAGCCAGGAATTAGATGATTGGCCCGAAGAGGGGGGTCAGGACGGGGCCGGGCGAACGGGGGGAGGGAAAGCAGAGGGGGAGGCAGCGGATCAGCTCTCGCGGCGGGGTTTCTCGGCGCCTCCCCGCGCGGGAAGCGCCAAGTGCATCGAGGAATGCGCCCCGGCGGCAGGCTCGAAACCAGCTGCATGCAGCGGAGTTCGTATCCCCTCCTTCCCCCCGCCCCTGTCGTCCGACCCGACAGGAAGAGATGGGGGCTCCGCGCATCGTGGCCCGAGGGCATGCGCGCGGACGAGGGGGGGGCGGGGCACGCCCTGCCAGAAAGGCAAACCGGGGGCCATGCCACCTGGGCCATCTCCCAGCCCGGGCCATGAGATCCACGCACACGGTCCTCGCCCCGCTCTTCGACGCCCCCCGTCGGAGCCGGAGCCCGATCCGCGGCTGGCTGCCTCCACCGCCCTCCGCTGCAGAGCCCGGGCACCGAGCGCGGCGCGGCGCGAAGGCGCCGCCGCCCCACAGGACCGGCTCCTCTGGGCCGACGGGCCTGCGAACCGCCGGCCCTACGGCGCGGAGGGGCGGGCACCCGCTGCCGCCTTCCACTTCTCCAGGGCCGCAAGGTCGACGTTGCAGCTGCTGGCTCCTTTGTGCCCGCCGCCGCCGAACTTCTCCGTGACCTCGAGGGAGTTCTCCCCCTCCACGGCGCGGACGGAGCACTTCACCTTGCCCTCGGGCAGCCCGCTTGCCGCGTAGCAGACGCAGCCGAAGCCGCGCATGCCTGCCTTCTGCGACATCACCGCCACCTCTGCGGGCGAGCTAAGAGAAGGCCCCCAATTGAGTGGGTCAGCGCAAAGGGTTGGGGCAAAAGCGAGGGCGTGAGGCCATGGCCAGGAGGTGTAGCCATGGGGGCGAGAGCGGATTTTGAGGGCGCTGAGGCCACGGTGGCGGTGTCAGGGTCAGGCGAGTGTGCAGTGGGTGGGGCATTTCGTTCTCATACCCCCTAGGGGTCACTTAACGGCTCCACCTGCCCCTAGACCACTCAGGCGGCACCTCCAGAGGGGGGGAGGGGGGAGGGGCGAATTGGCGAATTGGTGCGTTCACCGAGTTCATCATTTTGGAGAATGTATAATTCGCCATTCGGGGAGGCCTTTCCCAATTTTTGGCAGCGCCACTTCGCCGCGCGTTCGAGGGCAACCGTTCGCGCCAACCCGCAGGCCACATCGCCATCCATGAACTCGACGAGCGCACCAGACATTCATGCACCTGGTGAGCAGACCAACCCAAAAATGGGCCCCACCCCCAGCAGTTTCAGCAAGCCGGCCTGGTGCCCGAGGGCGCTGCGGAGGTCTCCTCGCTCGGTCATCACGCCCAGGCAACGCACACCGCCAGCCTCTGGAATTTGCAACTCGAACGTGCCTTTCATCTCCTCTGCGATCGCCTGATCAAGCGCAATGCGGTCCTCTGCACCCTTCTTCATAATGTCCTCCACCCTCAGAGCTCGGAGCGTGCTGAACAGCTCGGGGTTGGTGGTTGGGTTCATGTCCAGCCTGAGCGCGGCAAAGCCGGCGTGGAAGTCCTTGCTCCCCTCCAGCCACCAGTTCCAGATGTCGGCGTCCTCGATCAGGCGGAAGACACGCAGCAGACGCTTGCTCTCCTCCTCGCCCCGGAAGAGGCGGCTGTAGTCGGACGTCCACTCCACATTGGCCTCGGCCCGCTGGCGCTTGGACGGGGGCTCCCCTGGTCCGCCAGAGGTCCGCTCCGGAAGCGGCCTCGAGGAGAAGTAGTCGAGGGCGATGGTGGCCCCCGACCGGTTCACGTCCAGGACGAGCTTCAGGCTGGACGGCGCCGCCACCTTCTCCAGCTCCTCGCGGAGCTTCACGAGGCCCGTCTCGTGGTGGTCCAGGACCGTGCAGCGGGCGCAGCGCTGAGCCAGTCCCAAGACGAACTTGGGCTCGCCAGTGTAATCCAAGAAGAACACTTCGTCACCTCCCTGTACGGTGCCTGCGTCGAACTGCTCATCGGGGGGCTTGAACACCTCCATGGGGCACCATCTGATCCGTCACCCTGCCAGCGGCAGGTTGGGGCGTGTTAAAGGCTCTTCTGTTATCGGGTCAAGTCTGTAGTGCTTCTAGGGCCTGCATCCCAATCTCCCCGTCGTGCGCGTCCGCTGAAAATCGTTTCCCTTGATTCTGTCTTTTTCTGGCGCACTTGTTGGCCTCCAGACAGCTCGACGATCCACGACGATCCAAGATGGCCTCAAAAAGCCTCCAAGCTGGTCCAAGATGCTTTGAAAACAGCCCCAGATGGCCCGAGAGGACTCCGATACAGCACAGGAGGACTCCAAAAGGTCCTCCAGGAGGGCCCGACGGGGCTTCTGAGCCAAAGGCGGCCCCAGAGGCCTCCTAGACAGGCAAGGAGGGCCCTAACAGCCCACGATACCTCAGATGGCGAGGGCGCCTCAAGAGGGCCCCCATGGAGAGCTTCAAGACGGCCTCCGAAGGCGCCAGACGGGCCAATAAATCCGCAAGGGGCCCCCAAGAAGCCCCAGCTCCATCAGGCCTTCTAGGTCGGCCCAGAGAAGCCCCAAATCAGTGATTTTCCAGTGTTAGGCTTGGCGTAATGGGACTCTTGCTTATTTGTAAAAAGAAATCGGTGGGTGCGGGCTCCTTCGTCAGAGGCGGCCCCCGGCGTTTCTCGGCGTTGCCAGCGTTGCTCCGGGTTGCCCGAGGGTGCTCAGGAGTGCCAAGCATCGCCGAGCAATGCTTTGCATTGCATTGCCTCGATTAGGAAGACAGAGAACTCCGACTTGGCGTCGCGCGAGGGCTCATTCCTGAATTTCTACGCGTTTTCGCGCTCCCTGGCTCGGAAGCGGCCAAGAGGGGGGGGTCCGAGAGGGGGGGGTGCAAATCATGACCAGCGGCATGTGCGCGGCCCAGCGGGGGGGCCAGGGACGTCATGAGATAAGAAGAGGCGCCATGAAATCTGGGGAAATATCATGGCCCCCGCCATGATATCCACCCCCCCCCAGTCATCACCCCCCTCTTTTCCGCCCCCGACTGGCCTCGAAGGCACTCGAAGGGACCCCAACTCGGCCCACGAGGCCCTCCGGGACGGACCAGGGACGGCGACGACGACGGCGACGACGACGGCGACGACGATGACAGCGACGACGACGACGCCGGAGGAGGAGGAGGAGGAGGAGGAGGAGGAGGAGGAGGAGAAGGAGGAGGCCTTGGGGACGACCTCCGAGGGCGCCCGGAGGGCCGAGAGAGGGTCCCCAGACCCACGGGGCCCCAAGAGGCCCCCCCAAGAGGCCCCCAAGAGGCCCCCTCCTCCTCCCCTCCTCCTCCTCCTCCTCCTCTCCTCCTCCTCCTCCTCCTCCTCCTCCTCCATTCCTCCTCCTCCTCCGCCTCCTCCTCCTCCTCCTCCTCCTCCTCCTCCTCCTCCCCTTATCTTCCTCTCCTCCTCCTCCTCCTCCTCCTCCTCCTTCCTCCTTCCTCCTCCTCCTCCTCCTCCTCCTCCTCCTCCATCCTCCTCCTCCTTCCCCCCCTCTACCTCATCTTCCTCCTCCTCCTCCTCCTCCTCCTCCTCCTCTTCCTCCTCCTGGTGCAGTGGCGGGGTTTGCCACAGGCAGCCAGATGCGTTCCCCCAGCGGATCGATGCCAGCTCTTTCAAACCACAGCGAGGCAGCAAACGCAGCGAAGCACCCATCGGCGCAAGGCGAATGATAGATCACATGAAACGTCGCCATGCTGTATGCCCAAATCGAGAAAAAGGGTGCGACTATTGCCTTCTCCCGCGCACGCAGCCGAAACATCGAAACGAGCACAGCGGAAAGCGCGAAGCATAGCGCACTCAGGCAACGCGGCCGGAACATGTGCTTGCCCAGCACTTTGGATGTCCGAGGCCATCCCTTCCCTTACGTAATCTCGGCGCCAGCTGCAGGGTCAGGCAAGCAGGGCGAGAGAAGCGACAGGACCATCTGCCTGTCCAGTGCCCACAACGGAAAGGGCAGCAGGGAATGGGCGCGACACATCCCAGAACATCCTCTGCGTAATCCGAGCCCCCCGCCGGGCGACGCCAGGTGGGGTCGGGCCGGGTAGCCCAGAGAATTGACAGGAAAGTGTGGCTCATTCCTGGCCTGCCGAAGAAGTGGCGGTCGATGCCCCCCCCCATACGGGCCAGCACGGCAACAACGAGCAGATCGAAGCGCCGAGAGCCTCCGACGACCTATATGTTTTGCAGGTCTTTCTGTCTCGGCCGGGGCAGCGAGTGCCTCGCCACGGCGAGACCATAGCCAGGGCGAGAGGAGAACACCCGTGCCACATGCCCCAGTCGATCAAGGACATCTCTCTCCCTCTCTCTCTCTCTTCCTCTCTCTCCCTCTTTCTGGGAGCAGCGCGCTGGGCGCCTGAATAGTCCAGGTAGCCCTGGTAGAACCTCTTGAACTCTTTCTCCTGCGCGACCAGGGCAGGTGGCAAGCAGAGGCAGGGCAGACGGCCGAATTCTCTCACCTGTGGACTTACGAATGCACGGTGTCCGCAGGCACACGTACACACATGCATATAGGTGTAGAAGTATACATAAATAAATGTATGGTCCAGGGTCTGGTCTGGGCCCCCCTTCTCATGCTGATGCCATTGCCCCCCCCCCCCCCCGCGCGATGCCCCCCCCCCCCCTGAGGGTGTGGTGTGGTGCTGTGTGTGTGTGGCGTGTGTGGCGTGGTAGCGTGGTGCTCCAGGAGAGCTCGGGAGGTCGTCGTCGTCGCCACCGCCGCCGTCGTCGTGGTCGGAGGGCTCCGGAGGTCGGCGCCGCCGCCGCCGTCACCACCGTCGTCTTCGTCGTCGTCGTCGTAGTCGTCGCAGTCGTCGTCGTCGTCGTCGTCGCCGCGGTCGTCGTCGTCGTCGTCGTCGTCGTTGCCATCGTCGTCGTCGCCGTCGTCGTCGTCGTCGCTGTCGTCGTCGTCGTCGCTGTCGCCGTCGTCGTCGTCGTCGTCGTCGTCGCTGCCGTCGTCGTCGTCGTCGTCGTCGTCGTCGTCGTCGTCGTCGTCGCTGTCGCCGTCGTCGTCGTCGTCGTCGTCGCTGCCGTCGTCGTCGTCGTCGTCGTCGTCGTCGTCGTCGTCGTCGTCGTCGTCGTCTTCCCCTTCCCCATCCCTTCTACTCGGGGGGGTGAGGGGGGGGGGGCCGAGGGACCCTGAGACCCATCCCATCTGGGAGGGGGGGAGGGGCGTGGGCCCGGGATCATTTCTACAATGTACAAATACGTAGCACCCCGCAATTGCGGATAAGAGTGAGGGGGCGGGCGCGGGCGACGCGGGCGTCGAGCTGGCGGACCTCGTGGCCCTCACGAATGCAAAGGAAGCCTGGAACGAATGCAAAAGAAGCCCTCCGCAGGCGCCGAAAATTCTGGGTGGGTCGCGGGGTGGGTCGCGGGTGGGTCGCGGGTGGGTCGCGGTGGGTCGCGGGTGGGTCGCGGGTTGGGTGCGGGTGGGTCGCGGAGTGGGTCGCGGGGTGGGTCTCGGGGTGGGTCGCCAGTGGGTCTCGCGTGGGTCGCCCATGCACAAGAATTCCGCCGCAAGCGCCGAAATTTTGGCTTGTTCAGTGAACGTAGTTTGGGTCGCTGGTGGGTCGCGGGCTCCCCGCCTCCACCTGGAAGGAATTCAAAAACAGCCCGCCGCAGGCGCCTAAAATTTTGATTTGTACACTGAACGCGGTTTGAGTCGCGGGTGGGTCGCAGGTTCTCCACCTGGAACGACCTGGAACGAATGCAAAAGAAACTCGCCGCAGGCGCCGAAAATTTTGGGTGGGTCGCGGGGTGGGTCGCGGGTGGGTCGCGGGTGGGTCGCGGTGGGTGGGGTGGGTCGCGGGGGTCGGGTGGGTCGCGGGTGGGTCGCGGGTGGGTCGCCGCTGGGTCGCCGCTGGGTCGCGGGTCGCGGGGGGGTGGGGTCGCGGTTGGGTCGCGGGTGGGTCGCGGGGTGGGTCGCGGGCGGGTCGCGGGGTGGGTCGCGGGTGGGTCGCGGGGTGGGTCGCGGGTGGGTCGCGGGGTGGGTCGCGGGTGGGTCGCGGGTGGGTCGCGGTCTGGGTCGCGGGTGGGTCGCTTGGCGGGTCGCGGGTGGGACGAAGACACCAACAAATACCAACAAACACCAACAACAACAATAATCCGCATTGCGGAATTCCACTTCAGCCACGCACCCAGGGACAATGAATGACCGTTCGGTTCAGCCCCCTCACTCTGATACGTGTGCATGCACCCCTTCGAGGAAGTAGAGCGCAAAGGCGACTCATGGTCACCACGTTCGTATGCTCATGGCCATTTCGCTCGGGATGCCCTCCTACGTCAACCTGGGGAACGAACGCACCCCTGGCACAGATCGCGACGGCAGGGCCCAAAAGCACAATGGACCTTCTACCATTCATCATAAACGCATCCAGCAAGACAGTGATCAATGGCGTCTTGTGTAGTCCTGCGACATAGTACAACAGCACCTGCAAGCATGCAGTGCGATTCAGTGATGCTGCGCGTAGCTGGTAGAAGAGCATCCGTTGCCTCTGGCGCCCATCGAAGGTATCCAACTCTGCTCTAAACTGTGTTTGTGTCATGCCCAGAGGGGTGCAATTGATTTGTTCTAGAAGACGTCGACCAATGGTCATACCGAGAACGCGAGCACACGCGCCATCATCTCACTTGTGTTTCGGGTGTTGGTACCCTTCTGCCCTCACAGCACGTGCAGCAAGCAAATGGCGATGATGAAGATGCAGCGGGGCGCGATGGCGCCGCAAGAGGAGAGGATACACTTTCACAGAATTTGGGGGACTCTTTGGTGGAGGGTCATACTAGCCTGCGCTACTCTACCCTGCCATACCCAACACTATGTCACTCTATTCTGCTTTACTCTACTCTACTCTACGTTACTCTACTCTACTCTAACTTACCCCATCCTACTCTACCATACCCCACTCTACTCTACCCAAAAGCAGTCTACTCTACTATACTTTCATCTACTCTACTCCACGCTACCCGAATATATTCAAATAGGCT